TGATAGGTTGGTGGGTGTTGATAGGTTGGTAGGTGTTGATAGGTGTTGGTAGGTTGGTAGGTTATAATGTTGTTGGTAGGTGTTGATAGGTTGGTAGGTGTTGACAGGTTGGTGGGTTATTAGGTTGTTGGTCAGGTGTTGATAGGTTGGTGGGTTATTAGGTTGTTGGTCAGGTGTTGATAGGTTGGTGGGTTATTAGGTTGTTGGTCAGGTGTTGATAGGTTGGTAGGTTATTAGGGTGTTGGTCAGGTGTTGATAGGTTGGTAGGTTATTAGGTTGTTGGTCAGGTGTTGATAGGTTGGTGGGTTATTAGGTTGTTGGTCAGGTGTTGATAGGTTGGTGGATGTTGATAGGTTGGTCAGGTATTGATAGGTTGGTGGGTTATTAGGTTGTTGGTCAGGTGTTGATAGGTTGGTTTGTTTTTGTAGGCCAGGAACTATTACTTTACAGTGCCTAAATAAAGAGGATAGGAAGCTTTGGCTGGAGGCAATGGATGGAAAAGAACCGGTAAATATTCACTCACTGGCATCCAGTATTAATAGAGGTTGTGCACCATCACGTGTGTACCATCATGTGCCAATACAGCTTGGGCTGCCTGTGGTTAAAATCCCTTTGCTCTTGGAATTAAATATTTTTAATATACAAATCTAACATGGCTGCTGTCACGTGATGGTGCAAAACCTCTATAGAGTGTTTTCACTCACGTGAAAAGGCAGCCATATTGGTGTACCAAACAATAGAAACTTTCTGCACAGTTTTGGCATAAAAAATAGAGTTCAATTCCCCGAAGATAGAAAGTGCATTGATTTGGTACATCAACATGAAAACGTTCTATATGGTGTTTTACTTGATGTACATGGCAGCAGCCACATGGGTTCTTTTTTCCTAAACCCACTGCACCTGCAGCAAGGGAAATAATTATTTCTAACAAATTAAGATATGAATTTCATTGAATATTTGACACTATTCCACAGGAGTATTTGGACTCCAACCAACTGCCAATCATGGATGATGGTTAGTATCATCGTTAATAATTTAATAATTAGTATATCTGCAAATATTAAAAAATAGATATTTTAAAAAAATCTGCAAATATTTTTAGGCACTTAATATTAATGAAATATAGTAAGTATATTCCTATTGTAATACTTTTTCCTCTTACATTGAACAGCTGAAAAAACTGAAATTGGACTGGAATTTATCAAAAAAGCCATAGCTGCTATAGAGAAGAGAGGTAGGACTTGACTCTTGAAGGATTTTTGCCCTCCCAATGGAATATCAACTGTGGTGTGTGCCATATTCTATCAGCCCACCATCACCTATGAACAACTACCTTGAACCACTGTCCCCACTGTCACGGGGTAGGGATGAGGGGGCTTACAATATTGGTTATTCATGGAAGATATAATCTCATCATGTAATCATAATCTCATTAAAAACAATCATCCATCTTTTAATGTGTGATGTATAAATGTTACTTATAGGCATAACAGACCAGGGACTGTACAGAGTTGTTGGTGTAGATTCAAATGTCCAAAACATGATTTTGCAGTGCATAAAGAAGAAAAAGATTTATGCTATAGACTTGGAAAGTGAGGATTGTGAATTTGAGGTCAAAACGATAACAAGTGCCCTGAAGCAACACATTAGGTACGAAGATAGACATCAAAATATTATTAGCCATTCTGAGTTTTAGGAAAAACTGGGTCATGTTGGCATTGCAAAGCATTGTGGGACTGTTTTAGAAGATATATTCTCAAGATGGTGTCTATTTCGTCTCTAAAACAGCCCCAAAATGCACTTCATTGCCAACTCAACCCAGTTTTCCCATCAACCTCAGAACAACTTATGGCTTATAGAAGTATTTACACAGATCTCATTAGTATAGGTAATTGGACTTCATGCTGTCCAATTTTGAAATAATTGGATGAAAAAAATTCCGAGGACTGACAAAATTGGAAGGGTCCAATTTGGCAGTCAGAGGAATTTTTTGAATTCAATAATTTCCAAATTGGACAGACACGTAGTCCTATTGCAGATTAATTATATCATCCCAAGCTATACTAGACTGATTCCATAAGTCATAGTTTTCCCTCAAAAGAATGCAAATGGAAACGATCGAAATTAATCTTTAATTTGGACTGGAAAGAGAATTTGAAATTCATAGAGTTAGTTGCTTATATGGGATTATAGATTGATGATACAATTATTATCAAAAGGTCGGTTTACGAGCAGACTTCCTACTATTTTTATAACAAACGTGATGACACGTCTTTTTAGTTTAACTGACATGTTTTGGAAGTAACGTCTGCCATCTTCAGATTTTGATATCGAGATGCAGATTGCACAAAGTATAAATACATGAATAAACAATAGAATTAATGTAGTGTAATAATACAAAATGAGAAACAATAAATTAAACAGACAAGAGTAAACTAATTAGATGGAAAGCTTAATGTTAACATGCTTTACCTGTATGCATGTTAACCGTATGTGCATACAATTATTATACTTATTGATTTTTACCTATACTATTTTCAGGAATATGTGCCCCCCTGTCTTYACATTTGATTATCATGATGACTTTCTAAATGCTGTCAGTAAGTTAATTTTTACTTGTAACAGTCATTATGAACCATCTCTTACCATCTGTTGTGTGTGATGGCTGATTTATTTACCAATACTTTTAACAGCTGTTATGATTGGTTATCATTTCTTGTTTGTGGGATTGGTTGATTTATTTACCAATACTTTTAACAGCTGTTTATGATTGGTTTACCATTTCTCGTTTGTCTGATTGACTGATTTATTTACCAATACTTTTAACACAGCTGTTATGATTGGTTTACTATTTCTTGTTTGTCTGATTGCCTGATTTATTTACTAATACTTTTAACAGCTGTTATGATTGGTTAACATGCATTGTTTTGTAGTTTCTGTGATTGATCTATACCATTTCTGCATGTGTAATTAGATGAAATGACAAGTAACATGATTACTTGACATGGGTTGATGAACCTCTTTTGTTTCAGAGCTAGAAACTTATAAAAAAAGAATAGAACAGCTAAAGAAATTGATACAAGCCCTTCCAGAACACAACAGAAATCTGATTTTCCRAATTATGACTCATCTGAAAAGGTAGTTTGAAATTATTTCTGTATTGTACTATGAACCCTGTCGTCTGTTTTATGGATACTCGCTGGCCCTTTGCAGCTTACTGTCACGTGTCTGTACTGGAGAGGAAAATATTTGTTTATATTTTAAATTGGTGATTCTTTTTAGCTACTTGTAAAGAACTGAATGAAACGATGTGTAACCAGTGCGTTACGAAATGCAGTTTTATTACGATCTCTCAAAACAGGTTGTTGAAAGTGTGTTTGTTTTCCAGCAAATTTCACCCATGGGAATCAAGATGTTCATTTATTTGCTCTCAGTGAATAGCGCAGCGCAACCGTGACGTCATAAAAGCAAAGACAAAGGCGAAATTCGGACAAACAAACTTACGAGTTTACTTTCAGCAGATAATTTTCACAGCCGATCRCAGTTGATCTTAGTTTACATGGGTTATTATTGTAACTTTAAGTAAAAATAATAAAATCGGTTTGTATAATCCTCGTAGTGGTTAAACGGAATGCAATGTTTGTCCGAATCTTTAAGCTATTTTTAGAATCAGTGCATGATTACTATGCTGCAAAGGGCATATTATTGCGTCTACCCAGCCAACCAACCAACTCAACATTACCAATAACCTAATGTTATGCGATTGTTATTCTCAGGGTTGCTGCTCATTCAAACAAGAACCTAATGGCAGCCAGTAATCTTGGGGTCGTGTTTGGACCAACACTAATGAAGTCTAAAGAGGAAACGATGGCTGCTATTATGAATTTGAAGCATCAAAGTGTAGTGGTCGAGCTGTTAATCAAGGAATATGATTACGTAAGATTACTTTAAATCATAAATTTTGATAAATAATGATTTAAGTGATGTATAAGTTCATCTGGGTAAGAGTGTCCTGTCATTGCAAAAAGCTTCAATCTTTCACACTTTGTTTAACCCTCAAACAACCTCTGGCTGATCTAGCTTACAATTATTGTCTTAGAACAACATTCTTCTGATATATTCTCTCACTTACACAATCATCCTCCTCATGCATCATTGTCATTGGTTCAATAAATGATGTTGTGCTGCAATCGGGTGGAGTTGACTGCTAATGTGCCACCTCTCACCAATGTGACCTGGGTTTGAGTCCTGCCGGGCCTGGTGTTGTATGTGAGTAGGGTCGTTTGCTATGTCCCTTGTACTTTTTCTCTGGTTTTCCTCCCTTCCTCAAAAATTACATTCTAAATTCCAATTCGATCTTTGGGCTTTCAGCAAGTTTGGGGCCTAGCTCTGTTGTGATTGTCCCACACCGTGATACAACAGCTAAAGCTCAGTAGACCAATCCCCCTTGTTTGTCTTTTGCTCCTCAGATATTTGATGTACCCAAGGAAGAAGAAATAAATAATATCCAGAACTCACAGAATTCAAAACAAAATGCAGTTGAAAGGCCAATCTTACCGCCTAAAAAACCAATGGGCAAAAGAAGTACAAATGATGGCCCTGATGGTAATTGCATTGATGGGAAGCCGCCTGCTTCTGCTAAAGCATATCGTCCACCACGACCACCAAATAGGCCAGCCCATCTGTCAAGACGGAAACAAGTACCATCTACAGGTTAGAAACCAAACAGTCAGGAAATGATAGCTATGTTAGTGGTATTGAGTAAAAAAAGCACTAACAGTTTTTTATCTTACTGAAATGATATTTTGAATGTTTGTAGATTCAGAGGAAGATGATTCAAGCTCAAAATCAGGATCATCAGGTAACATGATGA